AATTCGTGTTTTAATTAGGTAATACAATCAGCTCTAAAATTAAAAATATATTTAAAACATATAGAATAACACTCTTTCTCTCACCTTTATTGTCCTTTTCACTGAGTTTCTAACCATTCACTCTCACAGGTAACCACTATTATTAATTTTCTTATGTATTTTTCCAGTCTCTGATTACACAAGAAAATACGTTAAATTCTTTTTACTTTCTTCTACTCGCAAACATAGACAGAGATCTGCTCTTTGGGTTTCTCCCTTTGTTACAGCCAGAACAGTCTTTTCTAAAAGCCCCTTTAATAGCCAGAGGGGAGGGGAGGTGACAGGGCGGGGAGCGGGTGAACTACAGAGTGTCTGTGGGGAGGTGGCTAGAGAGGCCCGGAAGTGGCCTCCGTGCCCCGCCCCCGGGTGGTCGGCTAGTTGGGACACTTGGTGAGTGTGGGGTAAGTGCTGCCCGCCCGACGGGCGCCAACGTCCCGGTGCGGGGGTGGGCTGTCTTGCGTTGTTTTGTCTCGAGCAGGGGTGTGTGGCGGGACTTTGGGGGTGAAGAGAAGCCCCTCCCTCCCTCGTCCCCTGCAGCCTTGTCTCCCGAGGAGGGCGACCCCTGGCAAAGGCCGTGGGGGACCGAAGGGCGCTCTGTTGCGGCGCCAGGGGTCCCCGCGTAGGGCCCACGGGTGCCCCTTGTCTAGGGCCGTTTCTGGGTGTCGGGGTCGGTGCCCCAGGGCGTTTAGAGACTGGGATTCTTGGGTCACACTCACAGACAAGCCTTGGAAATGGGAGCCGTTACATTTTTGCTCCGCCTGGAGGCAAGGTCAGTACCAAGGTCTTTAAATTACTCCGTGGTACTGGACAGGAGCCTGGACTCTGGAGTGGGATTGCCTGGTTCGATTCCTGCCTCTGCCACTAATAGGCTGTGTGACTTTTGGCTATGACTTTTGGCTAGTCCTTTAGCCTCCGTTCCTCGTTTTACTGCTTTGTAAAATAGAGATAATGCTGTCACCTAACTTGCTGGGTTGTTGTGAGGATTAAATGACTTAAAATGTGTAGGGCCCTTAAAATAGTACGAGGCACAGAGTAAGCACGATTTCAAGATTTGCTATTATTATTACTATTATTATTTCTAATTATGACGGCATATTATCTTTAGTGAATGGTCTTGGTGACTGGCTTTCCTACTGCTTCTTTAAATTTTAGTGTCATTCATCAGTTCTTTTTGTAATGGATGATTTCTATATTTTAGGAGGGAAAAAAGATAATCTGAATAAGAGCCTATCCCAGAGCAAAGAGCCAAATGGGTTTTGTTGTGTTGTGTATTGTGTGTTGTGATGCTCAGACTCCCCAAAGCTTTAAGACTTGGGAATGCCTTTCCCTTGGCTGCCTGGATTCCCAAGGAGCAAGAAAGGTCTTAACAGTGAAGAAGGACTGGAACCCCTGGTGTTAGCAGAAATCGTGGGTCCTGCTCAGTGCTGGGAGATCTGCCAGTGTTTTGAGCGTCCTAAGTCCCAGCCTGAGTGGGGATCAGATATATATGTTTCTATATGTGACTTCCATGTTTCTATACATAACTATAATATTGGAAACTGAATTCACACTAACACCCTTAATTCCAATCCAACCTTACAAGGTTAACACTAGATTTCTCTTTTCTGTATTTGTAGCTCTCTTCTCCGACAATGAGAAACTTTACTCATTATCTTTGATATATTTACCTATTTGATCAACACTACCTGTTTGTAACCAATCTCCTAATCCAGTGCCTTCTCACTGTGCTCAGTTGGGCTCAGACCCCAAATAGGAGAGGGGTGAAACTTGCTTGGGGAATGTGGAATAGAAGTGGTAATGTATCAGGGTTAATTTTCCTGCATGGACACCCTCTTCACTCTGCTTGGGCTCTAAACTCATTCTGGGCTGGGCTGTGGCCCTCTCTCACCTCCCTTGACCCCACCTAAATGCTTTTAGACTGTACTGTTCTGGAAGGAAGGAAGGTAGGATTTTGTTTAATTTTTACAGTTGGGGGGGATTTCAAACAAATATAAGTGTAGAGAGAATATTACAGTGAACCCCAAAATGCCCATCAGTCAGCTTCAATAACCATCATCTTTGGGTCATTTTCTTTCTTCTTCTTTCCCTTCCCTTCTCCTGCCCTCTTCCTTTTTCCCTCCTCCCTCCCTTCCTTCACCATCCCCATCCCCCCCTTCTAGTATTAAAGCAAATTCAAGCTATTGTATTAGTTCACCCACAAGTACTTCAGTGTTAATTCTAACAAATAAGGACTTTTATCTTGTTTTTTTTTAGTGAGGAAGATTGGCCCTGAGCTAGCCTTTGTTGTCAATCTTCCTCCTTTTTTTTCTTCTTCTTCTCCAAAGCCCCAGTACATAGTTGTACATCCTAATTGTAGGTCCTTCTAGTTCTATGTGGGATGCTGCCACAGCATGGCTTGATGAGCGGTGCATAGGTCCACACACAGGATGTGAACCAGCAAACCCTGGGCCACCGAAGCGAAGCACACAAACTTGACCACCCAGCCATGGGGCCACCCCAGGACTTTTATCTTAATGTAACCATAGTATCGTTATTACACTCAACAAATTTGACAGTCATTTCTTAATATCGTGGTGTTCAAATTTTCCCCATTGTCTCAAATATGTCTTTTTATAGCTGTTTTTTCTGTTAGGTCCAAATACAGTCTACCATTTGCATTTGGTTGTTATGTCTATTCCATCTCTTTTAATCTGCGACAGTTCTCTTTCTCCCCCTCTCCTTTTTGTTTACTTGAATGCCATTTATTTGCTGAAGAACTCGGGTCTTCTGTACTACAAAATGTTTCACATTCTGGATTTGGCTCATTGCTTCTTTTTAGTATCTTTAACTCATTAGTTCTCAAACTCAGCTGCACATTGGAATCATCTAGAAAATTTTAAAAGTTACCAGTGCCTGTGTCCCACCCCCAGGGACTGATTTAGTTCATCTTGCTTTCAGCCCAGGTATCAGGAGGTTTTAAAAGTTTCCTAATGATTCTAGCGTATAGCGAAGTTTGACAACCTTTAATTGAATTTGCTTCTGTATTTTACCTGTTCCCTGGTATTTGGATCTAGAGACTTGATTAGACTTAGGCTCACTTATTTTGGTGATATTCGTTCACGGAACAGTGCCCCAGATCTCTTGTGGCAGCTGATTAGGAGGAAGTATTTTCTGGTACTTCTCATTTGTAACACCTGTGCTGAGGTCGCAGTTTCCTGAGTCCCATCCCTTCCCTGTCATCCTCTGAACTGTAGTGGATTGGAACAGAAACCCAGGAAGGCATACTCTTGGAAGTGTTTTCCTCTAGTCACCTCTGTCAGCCTCACGTTTTCTATCCCCTCCATTCCATTGAGTGAAGAGGGACGTACTGACACCTCAGCCCAGTCAAATAAGTTTGCAGTCACTTAGGGTTTCAGATCTATTTCTGTCTAGTTCAGAGGAATCTCAGGGCTCCCCTCCCTTTTAGGGCTGGCCCAGGTGCCATGGCGGCTGGGAATGGCTAATAACAGAGAGGGCGTAACCTGTGAGGGATGGTGTATGTGTGGGCCTCCATACCTTACCTTCTCCCTTTTTCCCTTTCCTGGACCTACCCAACTCATGGTGGGGGGTGGGAGGATGGAAGGAGAATTTTCTTTCCTGTCTTTGCTAAAGTGGGAGGGGACCAAGCTATAATCCCATCCTCTAAATTTTATTCAATAAATACTTTCCATGTGCCTGGCAGTGTTTTAAGGTCTTTACAAATATTAACAAATGTATAACAACTCCATGAAGTAGGTTCTTTTATTATCTCCCTTTTAAAGTTAGGGGAACTGAGGCACTGAGTAGTTAATAAGTAACATGCGCAAGGTCACACAGCAAGTAAGTGGCAGAGCTGGGATTTGAGTCCAGGCTGTCTTGTTCCAGTGCCCGTCTTCTAACTACAGTGAATGGTAGCTTACCCAGCCTGGTTCTGGCATGGATTATGGTTAGCGCCAGCTCTGCTTGGAGGCACCTGAGGCAGCCTCTGAATCCCCATTTGTCCCCTATCTCTGCAGCCTTCCAACATCTGAGATTTCACAGTGAGGGAGAGGCAGGGCCTCCCTCTTTTCAGTCTTTGTGGGAACCCCATGTACCTCCCCAGGGAAAGCTGCAGGGGATGTAGACCCCAGCCCCCATCTGCCTATCCTTCTGGGCCCCGTGCCCAACTCTGGGAAACTTAGGAGTCCCTGCGATGCCCGCCTCTATTCCTTGGAGGCAGCTTTGCCCTTACTCACTTGCCAGGTGACTCCCTGCTGTGGTCCCTAAGTTCCCCATCAGCTTTTGGCACTAAGGCAGATTTTGTAATTCAGAACTTCACATTTTCACTCTTTACAGGAGGGGTTCTAGGCCAGGGGCCTTTTAGCTCCCAAGGTAAAATTTAGCACTGTCTGGAGATGTTTCTTGGTTGTCATGACTTGGGGAGAGGGAGGGTGTTGCCGCTGGCATCTAGTGGGTAGAGGCCAGGGGTGCTGCTGAACATCCTACTATTTACAGGACAACTCCCCCAGCCTCCCCTCGCATAGAATTAATCCCACCCAAAATGTCAACAGTGCTGGAGTGCTTTACAGAAATAACTGTTCACCCAGTGCTTTTGCGTTCATTCATCCTTTCACTTAAACAACCACCACAAACTTATTCTGTATTTACTGTGTGTCAGGACCTGGGAAATACAAAAATGAGTAAGCTAAAGGCAGATCTCTTTTCAAGAAACTCACAGTCCAGCAGGGTAGGCAGATTTTTAAATAGAGAACAAGGATGCACAAGTACTGTTGTTGGTTTTTTGTTTTGTTTCTTAGGAAGATTAGCCCTGAGCTAACATCTGCCACCAATCCTCCTCTTTTTGTGGAGGAAGATTGGCCCTGTGCTAACATCTGTGCCCATCTTCCTCTATTTTATATGTGGGACGCCTGCCACAGCGCAGTTTGATAAGCAGTGCGTGGGTCCGCGCCCAGGATCTGAACCGGTGAACCCTGGGCTGCTGAAGCGGAGCGCACTACCTACTGTGCTACCAGGCCAGCCCCCTGTTGTTTTTAATATAAAGTTTACTAAGCACTCTTAGTGTGCTCTTTCCACAAGCTATCTTATTTATTTTGCAAGGAAGGCAGAAAGCGTCATCGGAGGAGACAGTTCATTCTGCCTAAGGGACGGGGGTGGTGACAGGCTGTACAGAGGAGGGGATATTTAACCTGGGCTTCAGAGCTCAAGTGCTGTTTACCCTGCAGAGATGTGAAAGCATGAAAATAAATACTATATCAAGAGTATAGTGAACAGCCTGTCAGGGCAGCTGCTAACCTCTTGCAAAGTCAGGGAAACTTTGTGCCTATTAGAAAACATACCTCTGTGGAGTGGACACAGTCTGGGCCCAGGTTTGTGAGCCCTACCTGAGCTCCCACTGGTCCCCTTGGCTGGGCACGTTGAACAGTGCACAACCTGCAAGACCATAGGGGATGTTTCCAGGGTTTAGATCAGCAGTGGGCATGAGTAGAAATAGGTGCTTTATCTGGATGAGAATGGGAGCATTACTGGTTTGAGGCAGAGGAATGACTTGATGAGGTATATGTATTTTAGAAAGAGCTCTCTGGTGGCAGGCTGGAAGGTGGGGGAGGAAAGGAGGGGTTGAAAGCACTTAGTAGGCTAGACACAATAATGAGGGCCTGGGCCATGGCAATAGCAATGAGAATAGAGAAAAAGGAACAGATCTGCGAGACACTGAACAGGTAGAATAGACAGGACCAGGTGACCCAGTGTGGCAACTGAACGAGAAGAGCACGTCAAAGAAGATCCTGAGGAAGTCTGGCAGGTCGTGCTGTTGTTTCTAGAGAGTGCCGTACTGGGGAAGGAGTAGATTGCGGGGAAGAAGATCAGCTTGGTTTGGGGCATATTGAATTGGCTTTGTTTGCAAGATTTCCAGATAGGACTGTCTGGGAGGCAGCTCAGGATGGGGATCAGGAGTCTTCAGCCTTGAAATGAGAGTTAAAATCTTGCAAGTGATTAAAGACAGTTCTGGGGAAGATGTAACGAGAGAAAAGAAATACTCAAGAACAGAACTCCAGGGCCCACTCATACTTAAAAAGAGAAAGGCCAGTGAATTATACTATTAGCTGACATTTATACAGCACTTGCCACAAGCCAGGTGCTGTTGTAAGAACTTTATACACAAACTTACTTAATGCTCACAATATCCTTGTGTACAATTACTATCCCTACTACGGAACGGGAAAGAGGCACAGAAATACTGAGTAATTTACCAAGGTCACCCAACGAGTAAGTCGTAAAGCCACGCTAATGAACCCAGGCGAGAGTCTGCACCTAAACAGACTGTGAATGGAAGCTGGAAAGAAACAGGATGGAGGAAAGCAGGAGAGGAAGGGGTCCCTGGATTCAGGGACAAGATAGTTTCTGGAAGCGGACAGGAGCATCTGCTGCCTGAGAAGAAGCCATGGAAAATGGAAACTGGGGGAAGCGTCTCTGGTTACTCTGCAGGAGTGATCTCAGCGGTCATCGCTGGCAGCTGCTGCTCACAGTGTGTTGTGGGATAGTGGGAGCTGGGGACCAGAGTGGGGGTCCGGAGGCTTCCTTTCAGGAAGTTTGACCTTGAAGAGGAGGAAAAGGAGTGGCAGATTGAGGGGGTGGCAAGGACCAGGGGCAGCCACCGCTTTCTCCAGGGCAAGGGCTTGGTGATATTTTCTGCTTCTTTGATGTTTCTGAGAGAAACTGAAGGTCCCCTCTAGCGCAGAGCTCAGAGGCATCTAGGGAAGCCCTACTTTCAGCTGAATTTGAGTGTTACTTTTATGCCAGTTGTTTGGGCAAACTTCACAACAGAGAGAGTTGGGAGCCTCACCAGCAGGTGCCCAGGGTTTAAAAATTCCGTCGTATGTCTTTTGACCTGCAGTGCTTTGATGGCAGATAAGGACCTGGTATTTATTCCCTATTGCTGTATAACAGTTTACCATAAATTTATCAGCTTAAAACAACCTGTTTATTATTTCCCAGTTCCAGATGTCAGAAGACCAGGCAGGCTCAGCTGAGTTCTGTGCTTAGGGTCTTCCAAGGGCAAAGTGAAGGTGTTAGAGCTGAGCTCTCATCTGAAGGCTCTGGGGAGGAACCCACTGACAAGCTCACTGAGGTTGGTGGTAGGACTCCATTCTGTGGTCAGTCGGCCGTGCTACCTCAGCATATTCAAAGTCCTCAGGATTAGGGCAGCAGTGTTTGGGGTCATTTTAGAATTCAGCCAACCCCAGACTTGGTTTGTAATGGGCCAATCACCAGGAGGGACGTCAGAGAGCGTCTAGGAAGTGGCCCAGGTCGGCACCAAAGTTCAGCCCAGCCAGTGTCAATTTTTCTCCAGATTAGTCTGGAGATCTAGGGGTGAGGTTGGGGGGCCAGAGGCGGTGTCCAGGCCTACCCCCAGGATATCCTTTGGGGAGCTTATTGTGGGATTAAGGTTTGGGGTGGTGCCAAGAATGGAGCTGCAGACGCACTTGAATATGGGGCAGAAATCTTCACGGCTGCTCCCCAGGGATGTCCTCGGGCTGCTGGGCATGAGAGGAGGGGACTGCTTCAATTTTACTGGTTAATAGTGATTTCCTACTTCCAGGAATCTTCCGCAGAAATACAGCTCCCAGCTAGAGTGAGGCCTGAATACCGCCTTGGCCCACGATGGCCAGAGAATCGAAGGAAAGCGCAGCCCTGGACGCCCAATCTGCAGAGGACCAGATGGGGCTTCTGGTCATAAAGGTGGAGGAGGAAGACGCCTCTGCCTTTGCGGAGGAGGCCAGAGTGAGGAGCAGCCTGGTTCAGGGCTCGGAGCACTCCCGCCAGCGCTTCCGGGGCTTCCGCTACCCCGAGGCTGAGGGGCCCCGCGAGGCGCTGAGCCGGCTCCGGGAGCTCTGCCGACTGTGGCTGCGGCCCGAGATGCACAGCAAGGAGCAGATCCTGGAGCTGCTGGTGCTGGAGCAGTTCCTGACCATCCTGCCGGGGGACCTCCAGACCTGGGTGCGGGAGCAGCATCCCGAGAGCGGGGAGGAGGTGGTGGTGCTGTTGGAGTATTTGGAGAGGCAGCTGGATGAGCCGATGTCGCAGGTAGAGAGAACAGGTTTAGTATCTGAGAGGTGTGGTCTGTTTCTTGCTGAAATCTCAAGATCCAAGCGAGAGGCATTTCTTTAAGCTCCAGAAATTCTCAATCTCTTTTTGTACCATGATCCTTTTTGGCAATAAGGTGAAGTCCCTGGACCCCTTCTCATAATAATATTTTGAAATACATAAAGGAAAATATAAAGAATTATAAAAGTACTCAATTATATTGAAATATGGTTAGCAAAGTATTAAATTTGTGTTAAAATTATATATATGCTTTTTTATTGATGAACTAAATAATAAGACCTAGGGACAGACCTAGTAACTAGTAATTTCAAAGTTGTTATAAGCATGAATGATGTTGACAGTATTTGCCTGGTTGTAATGTGATGTGAAAACATCTTCAACTTCTATTGGTGACAAAGTCCTGGGTATGCTATACCACATTGGTTTGTTGCTTCCTTTCATAACTGAAGGGGATGCTCAGTTTCTCTTAGAGCCTAGTAAATAAAAGTAGTTTTTTCCTATCCAAGTTTGTGGACCATTTGGGAGGGAGTCCATGGACCATAGGTTAAAAACCTCTGGTAGAAAATTGGTTGATTTTTACTTGCATCTTCTTGCCTGTTGATGAGATTGTTTCCTGTTTGCATTGTGTGGTGCCCTTGTGCACATTCCTTCAGAGGACATATGGTCAGAGGCTTCTAAGTTATCACTAGGAGACCAAGGTTCTTGAATTGGATCTACCGTGTCCAAGCCCTCTGTAACAGTGAAAACTCATTTCAAGTCTCTTAGCTTCAGGCTCTTCAATCTTTATGGAGGATGTGGGAAATTCTGAGCTGCACATGAGAAAGTAACTTGAAAACTATAATTTAACTATAAGTGTCTAGAAGGAAGCCTGCATTTAACAGGGACATACCATATGCAGGATCCTGTGTTAGGTGATTTCACATACTGTGATCTTATTTACTGGTCTGCCAAACCCTGTAGCTAGAAATTATTATCCTCATTTTTCAGTAAGAAAAGATATTAGTATTCTCTGAGAACTTAGTACCAATTCCCAGAGTTTTCATAAAAGCACAAATATATTTAATGAGGGAGCACAGAGTAATGCTTAAGAGCATAAGATCTGGAGTCATTCTGCCTGAGCTCCTATCCTACCGTTGCCACTTGTTAGCTGAGTGACCTTGGGCAAGTTGCTTAAACTCTCTGTGGCTTAGTTTCCCCATCAGTGAAATGGGGGTAATAATGGTACCAACCTTAAGGTTGTTGTTGTCTATGTTAAATGAGTTAATATCTTTAGTGCTCATGGAAACAGTGCCAGGCACATAGAACGTGCAATAGAAGTGTTTGATGAATAAATGAAAATAAATGAATAACTTCTAGGTCCCAGGTGGTGACCAGGGGCAAGAACTGCTCTGTTGCGAGATGGCACTGTTGGCACCATCCCAGGGGTCACAAAGTAGCCAATTCCAGCCAATGAAAGCTCTGCTCAAGCATGAATCTCTGGGATCCCAGCCCTTACCAGACAGAGGTGAGGATTATCTTCTGGGCAGTATGAATTCTACAGGCTTCATCCACTTCCACTTAAAGGTCACCTAATCCATTGACAGTTACTTTATATGCCCATCACTGATTGAGTCTACTTTGAGACTGAGACTAAAAGGGAAATTTCAAACAATGGTGGAAAGCTTTCCTAACCAAACCTGGACATAGTAAATAAGATAAATAAATAAAATTTGGTTTGGAAAGCATTTGTTCTCCATTTATTTAACACATAATAATGGAGGCCTTCTACGTGGTAGCCAGTGTTGTTGGTGCTGGGGAGCTGTCAGTGAGACAGGAGTCCTTGCTGCAATGGAGCTTACATTCTAGTGGGGAAGATGGAAAATAAACACATTAATAATACAATTTCAGATAGCAGTAAGTGCCAAGAAGAAAATGAACAGAATCTGTAAAGCCAGTCAGAATATCCCACAGACTATAGGACTATTGCAAATTAAAGAGTATAAATCTTCTAAACCTTAGGTCTGTTATTAAAATAGCATGAAATTCACTCCATAGGACGCGGCTGTATATTCTGTGGTGTTTTCTCATGTGCCCTGAACATGTGTGTAGGGAAGACACACAACACCAGGACATGCCAACCAACACGCAGTCTTCACTTCTCAATAGAGGTTCCAGCCTAAACCAATTGTTTTGTGCCCCTTTTAAAGTTTGCCTTTTTTTTTTTTTTTTAAAGATTTTATTTTTCCTTTTTCTCCCTAACGCACCCTGGTACATAGTTGCATATTTTTAGTTGTGGGTCCTTCTAGTGGTGGCATGTGGGATGCCTCCTCAGCATGGCTTGATGAGCAGTGCCATGTCTGCACCCAGGATCTGAACCAGCGAAACCCTGGGCCACCGAAGCGGAGCGCGCTTAACCACTCGGCCACGGGGCCGGCCTCTAAAGTTTGCCTTTTATAAGGAAACCTGAGGTTCTTTTTACTCTTCTCTCTCTTTGATCTGAGCAAGTTCTGTACAACCAGATGTCCATTTCTCCCTTTCTGGGCCCAGCCTTGTCTGACTCTAATTAGTTTCCCAAAACCAAAGCAGAAAGCCCCCAACAGCCACTAAAGACATTTTAACCAAAATCTTATTTTTCTCTCCCTCCCTAGTAAAGTTCAAAGGATCTTTAGATGGAAAGCTTGCTTTGTGTTGCTTTCATTAAACCATTTTTACCAAGGATCCTGCTTTTCTGTGTAGTTTGTGTATATCTACAGAGCACACCAGATCTATTTAGGCCCTAGGATTGGAGCTGGTAGGGATCAGGCATTTCTGGAAAGGAAAACACTGTATAAACTTCTCAGCAGGAATGTATTGACCCAGTTTTTGGACTTGGATTCCACAGGGCAGTGAGGCCGAATGCCAGGGTAGATCTCATCTTTCCTTCTTAGCTCTCCAGGTTCCTGGGCTTGCCGCGGGAGGGCGCTGCAGAGAAAACACGGTGGGAGCTGCCAGGCTCTCCCCAGAGCCCCAGGTGAGCTGGAGCCCCTCTGCCTCCCACAATGTCCTGTACTACTGTGGTGCTTCCCATGAAGGTCCCTCCCTCCCCACTCCCCCTCTATCTCCATCCTCAATCCTCCACCCAAATCCTAGGTGAATTTTGAATTTTCTCATTTATGCCAAGGTTGTTTATCATTGTGTAACTTCTTTTTGGTGCCCAGTTAAGAGCCTTTTTTTTTTCCCCCAAAAGTACGTATAATGAAATTAAATGAAAAAGTAAAATTTACTCATGCAGATGATTAATATCTTCTAAATGCTTTGTATTATAGTCCATTATTAAGTAAATAACAGCATGATGGTGACTTTACGTTTATAATGTGACATACGAAAAGATGACTTTCATAAGCAAGAGAAACCACTCAGTGATAGATAGCTACTCTGCTGCCAGAGCCTTTTCCTATTTTATTACTAGCTTGGGGGCTGTCTGCTTCCCAGATCTTCCCTCCTCCACCACTTTGGTCAGCCCCTTCTTCAACAGGATTTTCTTCTTCAGTAAGGGCAATTCAGAAAATGCAAACTGAAGCTTTTGTTGTGATCGTGGTTTTGTTTTGTTTTTCTAAAGTTTTTAAAAATTGTCCTGTGGATAGGAATATAAACATGTGACCTCTGCCCTCAGGAACTTTTAAATGTGAGGGAACAGATGAGGCAAGTCCTTTTATCTAAGCTTATACGATTTGAACAGTCTTTACTTACACTGGATTTTAATTTCCTACCCAGTTCTTCATGTCCTTGAAAATCTCAGTGTTTGAGTCTCTGTAGTGTCCATTTTCATCCCCGATTTTTCTCACTTCATACCTAGATTTCATTGTCATTAGTGTAAATGAACCCTTATCACTACTATGCCGGAAAATCACACCACAAATCTTTTGGAAGGTTTTGATTGGGCTCCATTTCTTTCACTGTGTTGGCCTTTATTTTCCAAATCTTTTCTTTCTATTCTGGTGTCTAAATATTTATATGAAGATACTTATTGTAATGTGTTTAACATTTCTTCCATGGTTATTTCGTTGTTACAGATGACACTTAAGACTGGGTTAAGTAGGAATAAGGGTGCCACACTTGCTGTTTTTCACAGAGCCCCTTTAAGGGGGTGTTCTGGCATTGCATGTCCCCCTCACTGTAGTCCCCAGCTTTAGGAGTGATCCTGAGCAAGTGGAACTAGGTGGGGTTACCTGTCGTTCTAGGGGCTGCTGAAAATGGAAGATGTGGCCCTGACCCTCACTCCTGGGTGGACCCAGCTGGATTCACCTCAGGTGAACTTCTTCAGAGATGAAAGGCAGAACTGTGGCGGCCTGATCTCCCTGGGTAAGACTGATGGGCACTGATTTCTCATCAGATTTCTTGGCTTCCTTTGAGTATGAGAACCTCCTGGGTTGTTAGTAGCTGTTTGAATTATGTTTGGATTCAGAACCACCACTTCTGAACCCCAGCTGCTAACCAGCTGTGTGACTAGCTCCTTAATCCTGACCTTGCTTTCTTCTCTGCCCTGCCAGTGTCCTAGTCAGGATACATGGGAGGAAGCAGAGACCATCCCTAGTACAGGTCCAGCTCATAGTAGATGCTCAGCACATGTTGATTTCTTCCGCTTTCCTTCCTGTTGCTAGCCGTCACAGAGGAGGAGACCTGAGGGGTCCCTTCAGGAAAAGGGCCATGGGAACACAGATGTGAGAGCTAGCAGTGACCTAGAGATTGACTATGGAGCCTGACCTTAGAGATGAGGGTGCCTGACAAGACTGCCTGACTTGTCTGAGTTCACATAGCTCATTGGTAGCACAGTGGGGGCTCCAACTCAGATCTCCTAGTGCTGAAGCCAGTTCTGTTTGGGAACCCTACCTCTACGTGGAATAAGAGCAGAGATGACTGCCCTTATTGATTAGTGATCAATTTCTGAGTCCCCACTTTCCATGTTTCTTACAGAATGCTTCAGAAGTCCTTTCACTTGCTTTGTTTACTGCCACCTTCTGCTCAGCCCTTAGTATCTAATCCTAGATGCATGGCCCTGCTTTACTATCCTTAGAACTTGGAGCCTCTCTGTGTATCCCCAGCAAAGTCCTCAGTCATCACCATCTTCCCTCCATTCCCAGTTTGTACCCTTCTTCCAGTGGCCTCATTCTCATTCTCAGGTCTCCCTCCTCCCCAGCACTCCTGTTCTTTCTCCCTCTTTATTCTCATTCTATTCTTGCACCTCAATCTTCATCCATGGCCTATATAGACCTCTGTAATTCTTGCCTCCCTGGGACTCATCACAGAGCTTTCCTCCTTGGCAGAGCATAATTGACAGTTGCTGGCCATTTGTTATTTCAGGTGGTGAAACACAGACTAAGATCAGGGACTTGCCTCCACAAGAGGAACATCCAGAACAGGAGCCTGGGGAAATACCGTGCCACCTGGGTGAAGCCCTTGGCCAGATTTCTACATGTGAAGCAGCTGGTGAACAGGAGGGCAGGTTACAAAGAAAGCAGAAAAATGCCGCTGGGAGGAGACGGCACATTTGTCATGAATGTGGAAAGAGTTTTGCTCAGAGTTCAGGCCTGAGTAAGCACAGGAGAATCCACACTGGGGAGAAACCCTATGAATGTGAGGAGTGTGGCAAAGCCTTCATCGGGAGCTCTGCCCTTGTCATTCATCAGAGGGTCCACACTGGTGAGAAGCCATATGAGTGTGAAGAATGTGGCAAGGCCTTCAGTCACAGCTCAGACCTTATCAAACACCAGAGAACTCACACTGGGGAGAAGCCCTACGAGTGTGATGACTGTGGGAAGACTTTCAGCCAGAGCTGCAGCCTCCTTGAACACCACAGAATCCACACCGGGGAGAAGCCGTACCAGTGCAACATGTGCGGCAAGGCCTTTAGGCGGAATTCACATCTCCTGAGACACCAGAGGATCCATGGGGATAAAAACGTTCAGGATCCTGACCATGGAGAGAGCTGGGAGAGTCAGGCTAGGATGGAAAGCCAGGAGGGACATATTGAGGCTCCCGTGTCTTATAAATGTAATGAGTGTGAGAGAAGTTTTACTCAGAATACAGGCCTTATGGAACATCAAAAAATCCACACTGGTGAGAAACCCTTTCAGTGTGATGCATGTGGAAAAGGCTTCACCCGAACTTCGTACCTTGTTCAACATCAGAGAAGTCACATTGGGAAAAAAATTCTGTCACAATGACTCATTGTCTTAACATGCCAAAGTTGGTGCTCGTTCCTACTGCACTGAAGCCACCCTGGAGCCCTTCTGACTGCAGAAATTGTGGGCTGGGGCTTAATTTACCACTGCACGTCATCGGGTATTTGTTAGAAAAGATAGAGTCTGGCTGAGAGGAAGTATCTTCTATTCTAGAAGGTGACTGAAAAAACTATATTTGATAGGAGGCTATGGGAGAATTGTCTGGAAGACATAGGACCTGAAATGGTTTGTTCTCACCTATTGGACTTAAAAGGGCTTCCAGCCTGGCTCCTCACCCTCAGCCAGCACATTTTGATGTTTCCTGGGTGGAAGGCTGTGATTTGGGGACTGCTGCTCTGACTGTTCGTTTTGCTATAATGAATCCTCCATGGTTGGTCAGATTCGTGAAGTCTTACGCTCCCCACTGTGCCTTGTACACAGGTGCTAATAAACATTTATTAAATGTACCAGTGAGATTACCTGTATAATTCTGAAAGTCTGATGTCGTCTAGATTTCTGAGGAATTTCTCACCAAAACCATTTGTGCTTGTGTCTAATTCTGAGGATCTAGATTCTGAGTTCATCTAGTGCATTTTTGCCCAGCACATAGGATTGGCAGAGAAGGGTTGAGGGTTGGGTTACTGTGATGGAGAGAATCCAGATTTCTTTACCAGACTAGGAATTCTAGTGTGAATGCCTTAAACAGCTTCTTTATCATTAAATCGTTGTGAATATGTGCCAATCATGAAATTCCATTGTTTTGTTACTGTTTCCCTGATATTAATTTTGTCACTCTTTAGGGAGAAAATGTTCCTATTCAGGCAGCGTGAAAATCAGTTACCAAGTCAGAATAAAATAATAAAGTCTCTAATGCTCAGCATCTTGGTTCTCACCTTTTAGTTCTCTTGGGCCTAACCAAATGCTCTCTGAAATAGCTACAGATACTCTCTTGCCCACAAACTCTCCCCACGCCCAAGTGTATAGTAGACTGTGCATCAAGTCTTATGCCTGCTAACCTCAAACATGCTGCAGTCAGTGGATTCACACCAAATATTTTAAACAAATAGCACTTACAGTTTCAAAACTCCATTATTGGTGTGTGACTGTCTTGCTCTTCTTATATATTGATTCCCAAACCAGCTGTGTGGTACCATTCCGTCCATTATTCATGGTGAGAATTTTAACCATTAAGTTAACTCCTCAAGCTATCTACTTTTCTTTAAACACACCTTGTAGACCATCTTTTTCTTCTTCATGATAGTCAAAATTGCAGTCTTGAATTTGCGAGAAATTTTTTTCTAGTTAGCATTATAACAAAGAATTTATTACATATATTTTAAATGGAGTTGCCTCTGCAAAAGCATTTCAAGATGACCATTTTCCTAAAAATTTTTTTGTTAGTGTATCACTTCTCTTTATTATAGAAATATGCTTTTTTTTTTTGCATCTGCTCACACTTCTCCCTTGGTTTCTGGCACCAGCAGTCTCTTCCCTATTTACAATATTTCATTCTAAGACTCTGGAATTCATATATAGCAAGGTTTTCTGGTCACCCTTCACAATTAATGGTTTCTCCATTGTGATATATTTCCTGCTTATTTAAAATTCTTTGCAGATCTATCCAAGTTGCCGTTTTTATGTCACTTTCCAAGGCTTGTACTTCAAAGGTTTCAGGGATCTAGGGGACAGAAATCTAACAAATCCTAATGTGAGTTATTTGTATTACAGTCATAAACTATATGGTTATTTATTTTGTTTGAATTCTTAAACCCATAAAAATGCGTTACATGCTTTCCAAACATCCTGAACATACTTGTATTAGTGTTGTCTAGAGAAACAGAACCGATAGGATGTATATATGGAGAGAGTTATAAGGAATTGGCTCACATGAATATGGAGTCTGAGAAGTCCCAAGATCTGCAGTTGGCAAGCTGGAGACCCAGGAGAGCCAGTGGTGTAGTTCCAGTCCAAGTTCTAAGACCTGAGGAGTGAAATAGCTCATGGTATATGTTCCAGTCCAAAAGCCAGCAAGCTTGAGAACCAAGAAGAGCCAATGTTTCAGTTTGAGCCCAAAGGCAGGAAAAGGCTGATGTCCCACTTCAACGCAGTTAGTGAAGAACAGTTCCCTCTTGAGAGGGTCAGCCTTTGTTTTAGCCAGGCCTTCAACTGTGTGGATGAGGACCATCCACATTAGGGGAGGCCATCTGCTTTATGCCAGTTCAAATGCTAGTTTCATCCCAAAACACCCTCACAGACACACCTAGAATAATGTTTGACCAAATATCTGGGCACCCTGTGGCCCAGTCAAGTTGACACATAAAATTAACTATCACAACACTATAGTTTCAGGTTTTAGCTAAGCATCAAAACTTTTAACCATGCTCCCCCCTTTTATCTCTAGTTCTTATAATTGACAGTAGGAGACTAGGAAATAATGTTTGTAGCCTCCCTACCCAGCTTACAGATGAGAATAGAGACGGGCTGGTATGAGGATGAGAGACAAGAGATAAATGACTGGCTCACCACTGCATCCTCAGCACCTGGTAGGTTCCAAATGAATGAATGATTCTGAAAATTGGCTGATTCTACTTGCTCTTTCACATTAACATAAAATTTCCTGGCACCTACTATATGAGACCAAAGTGTTCACACTCCTATTTCCAGAAACAACAGTTTTTCTTCTCTATTTCTAAATAAGTATATTTACAACCATTCATTCAGCAAACTGCATTGTGGTAGGGCATGTACTAAGGAATCAAAGATAAAGACATTGTCTTTGCCTTTGAAGAGCATGAGAACTAATGTCTTCTGTCTCCTAATCATATTCTATCCATGTCTGTCCTTATTTTATGAGGCTGCTTGGCACCCTGCATGTCTCTGTATGTGCCATGTAGACCAGGACTGAACAGCAGCTGATCCAAGCCCTGTAATCCACCCAGAACATGAGAACATGGTAGACTTGTGAGGAGCTGCTCCAAGGCCATTTGCCGTTTCCCTCCCTATCTACCGCGGAGGCTGTCATGAGATATTTTCCTCTAATGAGGAATGAGGCTTTCTACCTCTCCCAGTTAGGCCTATGACTGCAAGCTACAAAACTGCTTAGCTGCAGCCTGACACGAGCTTCTCAGCACAGGACGTTCTACCATATGTATTGCTGTCATATGGCTGCTTTGGATGCCATCCTGTGGGACAAGGGACAGAAGGAACTGACACAAATGGCTACTCTTGCCTTTTATGTTTATATAAATTTTAAAATTGCTTCAATCTAAAAAGAGCTGTTTGTTTTCTGATCAAATCTGTCAGCCTTTCCTTGACAAATCTGCTGCCAAACATGGGGTTGGTGAGGACACAATGTCCTTTTGGAGGAAAGATGTGGCCATGCAGAACAGAATAGGATATGTGGTAAGAATTCCTGGCATCTGGTAGCACATGCTCTTGCCTAAGTGGTGGACACGAGGGGAGGAGCAAGGGTCTTCCCGCTGTTGTACCTATACCGCCCTGGCTGAGATACAGGATATAAAAGATTTTCCGGGAACCAGTCGCATATGTTACCTGCTGATGAATGTTTAGAGGTTAAGTCACTGAAGGTAGGATTGAATCCAGCTGCCTGATGCCTTAGTTGTTATTAAATGTTTATTGAGGCTGAGTAGACGGCTACTTAAAAACCAAAGTCAGTGCAAATCTTACTTTGCACTTTGCTTACTGGTGTGGAGCTTATCCTTCCATGGCTCCTGACCGCTCCCTGCCCTATATCCCAACCTCAGTTACTATAAGGAAAGAAGGCTCCCACTGCTCCAGCCACCTCCGCAGGATGTACGCTACATCACTCCTGCCCTCCCTGAGCTCCCACCCAAGCAGACAACATGCTCTCCTGGCAGTTGCTGTTGTAACTCTTGAAGTGCCTGTGTTTTCCTCTGTGTTTCTGTTGGGAAAAAAAAAGATGTGTCTAAATTCAGCTGATAGAACTTAAAAATTTGCAGTGAAGAGAAAAAAGTTAAAGTAACCTTGTGAGTGAGGGTGCCTGGGAGATGAGATGGGGCATGAATGGTCCCGTGAATGACACAAGTGCCTGCCCATTGTTGGGTACCGTCAGTAAAATGTGTGTTCCTGACTTTTGCCCATAGCTAACTGAATTGTTTGTTGTTTACCTGTTGAGATCTGGTAAATTCTTTTTATATTCTAGATGCAAGTCCTCTCTCAGGTATATGGTTTGCAAATATTTTCCCTTGTCTGTAGTTTGTCTTTTAATCCTTGAGTCTTTCACACAATAAAAGTTTTAAATTTTGATGAAGACCAAATTATTAATTTTTCATTTAAAGAATCATGGTTTTGATGTCAATTCTAAGAATCTTTACCTAACCCTAGGCCCTGATGCTTTCCTCCTGTTTTCTTCTAAAAGTGTTAAGTTTTAGGTCTTATGTTTTAGCCCATCATCTATTTTGAGCTGATTTTTGTATAAGGTGTGAGGTTTAGGCTGAGGTTTTTTGGGTTTTGCCTATGGATGTCCACTTGCACCAGCACCATTTTCTGAAAAGGCTGCCCTTCCTCCATGGTCTTGCTTCTGCACCTTTGTGAACAATCAGTTGGACATTTTTGTGTGGATTTACATCTGGGTTCTTCAATCTGTTCCGTTGAACTCTGCGTCTGCAATCCCACTCTCTCTTGATCACTGTAAGTAAGCAGTAAACCTTCCCATCAAGCAGAGTGAATCCTCCCACTTTATCCTTTTTCAAAATGTAGTTATTCTAGGTTCCTTGCTTTCCATATAAATTTTAGAATAAGCTTATCTATATCTACAAAAAATTCTTGCTGTGATTTGGTAGGATTTATGTTAAACCTATAAATCAATGTAGGGAGAATTGATACCTTTACTATACGTTGTGTTTTCTAATCCATGAACATAATATGTCTCTCCATTTATTTAGATCTTCTTTGGTTTCTTTCATCAGCATTTTGTCATTTTCAGCATATAGATCCTGAACATGTTTGTTAGATTTATACCCAAATATTTAATTTTCTTTGAGGTGATTACAAATGGCATTGCATTGATTTCCAAAGGTTCATTATTAGTGTATAGAACTAGGATTGAGTTTTGCATGTTGACTTTGTATTTTGCAACCTTGCTTAATTCCCTTACTAGTCCTAGCAGTTTTTTGTAGATTCCTTGGGATTTTCTATGTACACAATCATATTACCTGCAAATAGGGAAAATTTTATTCGTTTCCAATACGTATGATTTTGTGTCATTTTTTGGCTTTATTGCACTGGCTTGTACTTCCAGTATTATGTTGAATAAGAGTGGTGAGAATGGACATTGTGGTCTTGATCCCAATCTTATAGGGAAAATGTGGTATTCCACCATTAAGTATGAAGTTAGCTGTAACTGTAAACAATCACGATGTTGGAAACGGACTCAGGGCACGGGGAGGGTACGTGGGAAGGCTTCTCCGTTCAGGGACGTGGAACAAGAGTCATCAATGAGTCCCTGGCCCCCTACCCCCCACCACAGAGTCCTCTGAAGCCACCAATCCTCGGAGATCCTGGAGAGTGTGACACGAAACGGGCCGAGTCGGAGGGCCCAAGGGTCGATACCACCCCGCTACCGCTGAAGCGCACCGCCAGCTCCAGAGAACTCGGTCTTGGTCAGGGAAATGGACCGGCCCGAAACCTAGAGCTCCCACTACGCCCGCCCACCAGCAGCTGCAAGCAGCAGGCGCCCCGCTCCCGGCAGTCGCCAAGCCGCTGGCAACCGTGTCCTCCAGATGCGCTCCCGCTTCCTCTCTAGGAACCAAGAGGCTTTCTGGACTCGATGATCTCCTCTTCCAAACAGGGCAACCTCCGCCGCCTCCGGCTTTATGCGCTTCCCTCGCTCAGTTCAGCCACTCTTCTCCTCACCAGCAGCGGGCGGGGCCACCCCGGCCCAGGTGCCCTCTGCTCGTCCCAACAGAAGCCTACTTCCTCCACCATCCTCCCTTTTTGGGGGTTCTCACAACATCTCAGCCAGCATCTCTTGCCCTTTCCTCCCACTGGCCTGAATGTTCTTGGCCGGGACTGTACTGGGCTTGAGGAGCACAGACAAGACTCCCTAAAGAAATCGAGTGGGTTATTGAGATATCAGGACCACACAAAGGGAGGATTAAGATGCCTTCCCATAAACGATGCTTTCCAGATGGAAGGTAATTGAGAACCACTGATCAAGGTACTTCACTTGGAGGAGATCCTGGGGGACCCTCCCCCACCAGAATTTGTCATTGTGAAACCAAGGACGGAGTTCAAGCTTCCCTGGACTGGGATGAAACTGTGCCTGTACTCACAAGGTTAATGTGGGAAACAAAGTAACCAAAGTTTCTGAGTTTGCCTTGTACAACAGCAGAAGGACCGCTAAGAGAGTAGCTTGCTGACAGCCCTCTGCCTGACTAAGCATCACCCAGGAGCAGTTTAAAACGACATTGTAAACTTTATATGTCGTAGACTAAAGATCCACCGCATGCAACACATAGAATCCCCCCCGAAGTTGCACAGGAGGCCCATGAAGAAATATGAAAGACAGTCACCCCTGTGCAGAGGACTCTTAGAACTTCAGCGCCCAAGGCCACATGCTCCCCTCCCCCTCTTATTCTTACAATATGCTTTGGAAAAATGCTTAGAACTGCACGTAGGCGAGCAAATCTGTAACCAGTAGAAAGAATAACTTGTTAGCAGAAAATTTATGTCCTCTGCCCAAACTGTTTTAGATAAGGAAGGAACTGAAGTTTTCTCAGATTCCTCAGGAATATTACATTCAGCAGATCCGTTACAGAGAGGAGGTGGATGTTCTGCAGTCATCCATCACCTGACATTTCTGAGTACCCCCCCCTCCCCGCCCCCCTAACTCCATTTGCCTTATAAAAGTCATTTCCAAATCAGTTCCCTTTAAGGTTTTTTAGGGTTATAGTCCACCATCTTCCGATATGCTAGTTTATTGCTTATTAAAATTCTTTT